CAAACACATCCTCCCAATGGAAGTCGGAGGAACTGCCCTGGAGAAAACTGTCTGCAATCCAGTCTGACACCTGCCTTTCAGTATGAAACAGAGGTGGCTTCAGATGATTGCAAAACAGAATCTCTTAAAAACACAATCTCTACACATGTAAACGAATAGACCAAAACAACTAAGACAGAAACCAGGAACCAGATATGGGCCCGACAGAAATCAGGAACCAGGAACCAGATATAGGCATAGTCCCGAAGTCTCGGGGTGCCCCGGGTATTGAAGCGCTAAACACTCTGCTGTATCCTACACTTGTTCCTCAACAGAAAACAGGTCTGCAGACATTTACCTCCAGAGGGTTACCAGATCCACAAGGGCCGAAATGAGGTACAGTCGGAGTCGGGGAGGGAGGCTTCTCCTAGTCCTGAGTTCTGGGGCCCTGGAACATCATCAGGGCCCGGCTCCCCTAAAAGTCATAACAGAACAATTACCCCTCCCGAGGCCGATGTCCTCTCCAGGTGGGTCTCTGCAGTGACATGGTATGCTGCTATCTCGCTGGGACCTCCAAAATGTTGTACCGAGAAATCAGCGAGTGAGACCCAGATGTAATTTCAAATGTGGATTTATTAGCACACGGCTGCAAGGGGTATGCACAACCAAATCAAGCAGCCCCAATCAGGGGTCGAGCTAGGGTTTATATGGAAAACGGCATGGGAAAGAAATGTGAGGAACACTGATGAGGTAATCCAAAGGTGTAGGTGTCTTTGGGGGCTATGGATGGGAAAGTACAAGGAGTATACCGGACAGGGAGGGGGATAGATCTTTGGAGTCTGGCAGGAGGAAGAGTCCTTGGGCTAGCCAAGGACACCCCTCTCCCTCTGTCTTGATGAAAGAATGCTCTGCAACAAGGGAAAGCTTTCTCACAACACAGGAACTTACTGAGGAATTGGGAGGCTTCCAGAGCCATGATCTGAGGGCTGGGGCCTGAGCAGCCTAGCTCTGTGTAGCTGTACCAGGGAGAGAGATAAGGGTCGTGCTGAGGCCCATGCATGAATAACTGCTAGGCACAGTGTCCTTGGGCTGGGGGGTGGTTGTCAGAGACAGTGTTTCTGAGACTGGGGAGAAATTGGGGCACAAGTACAAGCACAAGCACCCAAGCACCCCATCATTACAGGTCAGGGATCACACAGACCAGACCAGGTGTCCTGGTCTCTGGTATAAACATAATTATCTAAAGCAATTATGTTGCAAGATTTCTTATCCATTTGTGTTGGAGGTACAGGCTATGCTGAGCTATGCAAGAGTACATTTCACTATTGTTTAGATTTAGGAGAAAAGAGGTCTGGGGCAAGATTAAGCAGCAATTTTTGCCTTCCATGGCTCAAAGGGCCCTACTACCCAAATGGTAAAATAATGTTCTGCATTACAATAGCATAAGCAAATTAGGCGAGCAAAGAATATTTTACTGTCAGAAATATGGAGAAGGGAAGAATTTATGACCAAACAAAAGACAGAGGACATTATGAAATGCAAAATAGATAATTTTGATTAAGTTAAATAAATTTTTTTTTGCATAAAGCCAATGCAACCAAGATTAGAAAAGAAGCAGAAAACTTGGAACACAATTTCTTTTTGAGGCAATTGGGGTTAAGTGACTTGCCCAGAGTCACAAAACTAGTAAGTGTTATATGTCTGAGGCTGTATTTGAACTTAGCTCCTCCTGATTCCAGGTCCAGTGCTCTATCCATTGTGCCACCTAACTGCTCCTGGAAACAATTTTTATAGCCATTGTCCCTGATAAAGACTTCATTTCTCAAATATGTAGAGAACTGAGTCAAATTTATAGGAATATGCGTCTTTCCCCAATTGATAAATGGTCAAAGCATATGAACAGACAGTTTTCAGATGAAGAAACAAAAGCTGTCTATAGTCAGATGAAAAAATGCTCTCAATCACTATTGCTTAGAAAAATGCAAATTAAAATAGCTCTGAGGTACCACCTCACACCTTTCAGATTGCATATATGAAAAACAAGAAAAATGTTAAATGTTGGAGAAAATGTTGAAAATTCGAATAATATTGTGTTGTTGTTAAAGTTTTGAACTGATCTGACCATTCTGGAGAGCAGTTTAGAACTATGCCCAAAGGGCTATAAAACTGTGCATACATACCCTTTGATCCAGCAATACCACTGCTAAGTCTACATCCCAAAAAGATCCTAAAAAAGGGAAAAGGACTGACATGGGCAAAAACATTTACAGCAGCTCTTTTTGTGGTGGCAAGAAGTTGGAAATTGAGGGGATAGCTATAAATTGGAGAATAGCTGAAGAAGTTGTGGTGTATGAATGTAATGGAAAACTATTGTTCTATAAGGACTGATGAGTAGGTGGATTTCAGAAAAACCCGGGAAGACTTAAATGAACAGATACTGAGTGAAGTGAGCAGAAACAAGAGAACATTGTACACAGTAACAGCAACACTGTGGGATGACTGACTGACAGATTTAGCTCTTCTCAGCAATACAATTATCTAAGATAATTCTAAAAGATTCATGATGGAAAATGCTATCCACATTTAGAGAAAGAACTATGGACCCTGAATGCAAATCTAAGCATACTATTTTCTCTTTTTTTCCTTTTTTTGTGTTTTCTTTCTCATGGTTTTTCCCTTTTGTTCTGATTCTTCTTTCATAACCTGACTAATGTGGAAGTATGTTTAATATGATTATACTTGTATAACCTATATCAGATTGCTTGCTGTCTTGGTGAAGGGAAGGGGAGGAGGGGAGGGAGAAAGAAAATTGGAACCCAAAATCTTATAAAAGTGAATGTTGAAAAGTAACTTTACATATAATTGGAAAAAATGAAATAGTATTAAGTGAGGGAAAAAGGAGAAAGAATATGCACTACAGCTGAGAGTTTAATAATTATGAAATCATCCACAGAATTAAAACTGGAAGGGACCTTAGAGGACATTTTATCAAACTCATTTCCTTTTACAAAGGAAGAAATGGAAGCTCAGAGAATGAATGAATGAATGAATGAATAAACAAGTGGTAAGGAAACACCTAATTAGCTACCTGAATAGCTAGAAATATAAGAAAACATTTATTAAGTACATACTACATACCAAGCACTGAATACACAAATTCAAAACTGAGGTAGTCCCTGCCCTCATGGAGCTTCCATTCCAACAGGAGGGACAAGAGGAAGAGAAGAGTGGGGGCCAGGGAAGGGAGCTGCGCTTTGGGGAGTTTGGGGAGTGGAACAGTAGAGCAGTTCATTGACACACTTTCCCCAGAGGCAAAGGTTAATGTTGATTCAGTTACAGTGCTCAGGGCAAGATGTGGGAAAGTAAGGAGAGTGTTTGGGGCTGGTGGAAGATAATGGACCCCCAGCATCAGGATGGAAAATGACCAGGAGGATTCTGAAAGGGGGGGAAGGACTTGCCTGGAGTCTCACAGAAGAGTGATGGCAGAGCCAGGTCCAGAAGCCAAGTCTCTCAGCTCTCATAGATTCTCTGTTCATTACACTCTGGGAGGATCCTGTTAAAGTCTAGATCCTCCTGGCAGGAACTGGCATGTTAAGCCATCGTTTATCAAAACTCCTTGGCAAGAATGAGTGGATAAGACCCACGCCAATGCTAGCCAGGTGAGATCCAGACGAGGACATGAGACAGACCTATCCATCTCTCCAGGTGGCCAGACTCCACACCTCCCCAGGGAGCTGAACCACTCCTCCACATAGAGCCCTCACCTGGCTCTGTGGCCCACCCTCCTTCTAGCTCAGCTGCACAGCCAATAATCACATAAGGGCCAGGTAAACAGCAGCCCAGGGGCCTGGGCTCCCTCTGCACTTGTAAGTTACCTATGGGCAGTGGCAGAGCAGAGGCTAGTACAGGGCCTCCCTAGAGGCCATGGGTGACATTTATTGCCTTCCTGTCACCACATCTAACCCTCCAGCATCCAAAAAGCTTCCCTCCCTTTCTGACATAGGAAGCAGTCAGGAGAGAGAATGTCTTATCTCCAAGGGGGATCACAGGAAGGAAAGTGATTTTCCAGAAGTGGGCCCACAGCAGAGCAGCAGCTGATCCAGAAGTCGAACCTTCATCTGTTGGGGCCCCCAACCACACAAACAAATACTCTTAATGCTGGGCCTACATTGTCCTCTGATTTTCTTCTCCTCTGTCCCTAGAACACCAGAAAGGAGCATTCTCAGTGACTGGCCTTGCTCAGCTCATTCAGGCCAAGCAGGAGGAAAACGTCACACTCTCCTGTCAACACTACCCTAAAATGGATGCTCGGGCCATGACTGTGAACTGGTTCAGAAACCAGGCCCCACTGGGGAGAAGCTGGAGGAATCCCAGGGCACTAGGGAAGATGGAGCTGCTGAAACGTGACATGGCTGAGGGGAAGGTGACCTTGAGGATCCAGCAGGTCCAGGTCTCGACTCTGGTCAATACACTTGTCGTGTCCAGTCACCTGACAATTATGATGAAGCCCACATTGAACTGCAGGTAGCAGGTAGGTCCTGTGTGGTTTATGGGTTTCTTCTGAATCACAGACTGTTAGAGCTGGAATGATTTTAAAGAGCATTGAGTCAAAGCCCCCTCATTTAACAGAAGAGGAAAATGGGACCCAGAGAGAGGAGGGCCTTTGCACAAGATCATACATTTGGGAAATGTCTGGGCTGGGAATGAGACCTAGCTCTTCTCACTCCCGATTTGGCCGTTTTCTTCTCCTTGACCCATCTCTTGGATCCTACTTGTGTGAAATCACTGGCTTTGGAAGGGGACAAACTCCCTTTGGGAAGTGAATCTTAACTCATGGATTTCATTTTCTTCCCACCTTAGGATCCTTCAGGCTTGGGGTTTCCTACTAGAAGATGATGGAGGCCTTCTCTCTCTCCTGGAACACAAAAATGGGGATGATTTTATTCTCTCTTTCAAAGATGCCAGGACTCAGCTGGCCCTCAAAAGCCACATACTGAGTGGTGTATGAAGAGTCTGAGGCCTTCTTGACTGTCATCTGCTTGACTTCCCTCATCATTGGCCTAGTGACAAATGTTTTCTAGATGCCTTCTCCATGCCCAGCCCTGTGCTAGGTGAGGATGTAGGGAAGAGAAGGGAAGAAGACCTGGCCTTATGTCTTGATGGAGCTGGAGAGATATGATACTTAAACTGATTAAAAATAATTAGTGTATGGCAGACTGAAAGGGAGTGTGGTAGAGTGGGTGGAGTGCTGGACTTGGAGACAGGAAGAACTGGGTCCAGATGATGCCTCTGACTCTTATTCTCTGTGCAAGTCACTGAAACCCTCTGTGCCAACTTCATTACAAAAGACCTTTCTAGCTGTTCCCATACTGACAGAGTGTGTATTGTATTAAGGCATATACCTGGATCCTGAGTAGTCCCAATTTAGTGTATTTCAGTTTATATTAATTGAATTCATAATTATGTAATATATGGTCATTGGTTCCAACCCAATGGAACTATGCAGTGGGATTTCAAATAATGCAACCATTTTAGGAAATTCCTTCATCAAACTAATCTGGACCTCTCTCTATAATGAAGTGATAGATCATTTGGGACATAGCTTAGTTTGAAGAGGATAAAATAGCCATAGAAAAAATCCACTGATCACCTCCTGAAAGAGATCCCAAATTGAAAATACCAAGGAATATAGTAGCCAAATTCCAAAATTACCAGGTCAAAGAGAAAATACTGCAAGCAACCACAAAGAAACAATTTAAATATCATGGAACCATAGTCAGGATTATGTAGGGCCTTGCAGCTTCTACATTAACAGCTCATAGGGCATGCAATATGATATTCTGTGAGGCAAAGGAGCTTGGATTACAACCAAGTAAAGGTAAAAGGCTGGAGTAGAATATATTATGCTTCAGCTGAAGTTAAAAAAAGCAGGGGTAGCAATCCTGATTTCAGACAAAGCAAAAACAAAAATAGACTTTATCAAAAGAGATAAAGAAGAAACTACATCCTACTAAAAGGCACCATAGACAATGAAGTAATATCATTACTAAACATATATGCACCAAATAGTATAGCATCCACATTCTTAGAGGAGAAGTTCAGGGAGTTACAGGAAGAAATAGACAGCAAAATTATACTAGTGGGGGACCTCAACCTTCGGAGCTAGATAAATCTAACCACAAAATAAACAAGAAGGAAATTAAGGAGGTCGATAGAATATTAGAAAAGTTAGGTATGGTAGACCTCTGGAGAAAATTGAATAAGGACATAAAGGAATATACTTTTTTCTAGGGGGGGCACGTGGCGCATAAACAAAAATTGACCGTGCACTAGGGCATGAAAACCTCATAATCTGATGCAGAAAGGCAGAAATATCAAATGCATCCTTTTCAGATCATGATGCAATAAAATTTGTATGTAACAAAGGGCCATGGAAAGATAGACTAAAAAATAATTGGAAACTAAATAATCTAATCCTAAAAAATGAATGGGTCAAACAACAAATCATAGAAACAATCAATAACTTCATTCAAGAGAATGACAATAATGAGACAACATACCAAAACTTATGGGATGCAGCAAAAGCAGTTGTTTAGGGAAGTTTTATATCTCAAGTAACTTCCATGGCTCCCTATTGCTCCCACAACAGTCCAATGTCACGGCCCCTCCCTCTACGCTATTGTTCATGTTACTATTGAGAAACTGAAGGCCTGGCTTCTGGGAAGTTGTGGGGAGGGAAAGTTACTTAAATAGAGGAAAGATGCTGATGGAGATTATTTTGTCATTTAAGAATATCATCTCTGAAAGGGACTTTAGACATTATCCAGGCCCCCTCCTCTATTTACAGAAGAAGAGACTGACATCCAATGACCTGTCAAAGGTCAGTTAGCCACCAAGTGACAGGGTCACAATTTTCAACTAGACCTTCTGATTTTCTAGGGCTGGGGCTGTTTTTCCTTTCCTGTATCACATTGCTTCCCCCAATCCCCTCCTTTTATAGATGGGCAAACCAAGGTCCCTAGAGGGCAATGGACCAATGTGACAATTTAGTGGAGGGCTGACCCCAGGGCTGCTGGAGTCCAGGCTGCTCAGCTGACAGCCAGAGAGAGCTTCTCTATGGGGACGTAAGAACCAAACCCAGAATGGACTTCAGAAGAGAGTAGCATCCTCCGGAATCAAGAGATACGGGGCATAGTCCTATTTCTGTCATTACTCCCTTGGACAAGTTTCTTCCCCTCTCTGCTCTCTGGCTCCCTGTCTAATGATGGGGTTGACTAGATGTGATCTAAGGTCCCATCATCCCCTGAAAGTCTATGAATCTAAAAGGACACAGCTGTGAGGTTGTAGGAAGAGGCCTGAATTGGGAGTCAGAGGACCCAGGCTTCAGCCCTGGCTCTGTGACTTACAAGCTGAAGGATGGAAGGCCTCTCTCTCCCATTTTCTTTCCTGTAAGCTGAGGCAGCTTGGCTAGATTCTCTCTAAGCTCTCTTCCAGTTCTCCCATTCTCTTCTTTGAAGTCCTGGGGAAGCTTGTTTTTTTGGGGGATGTTTAGAGGCTGGTGGAGGGGAGGAAGACCACACCAGCTGGGCACAAAGCCACCATCCTTGCCCAGGATTTCCTGAATCCTGGTGCCCTCAGTGCTCCCACCCCTACCCTGGGCCACAGGGATCAGGCACCAGGGTTTCCCTCCTCTCATTCCCAAAGTAATGGAGTTTGGGGGCCTCTTTTCAGAGAATCTTCCCACATCTCAGAAGACACTTGACATATTCCTTGTTGTTGTATTCTTGGTGGTCATCATTGGTTCTGTCTTCGTGATTTATTTCTTCTGTCCAACACAACTCCAGAGAGCCAGAGGTAAGAGAAGGCCCTGTCCTTATGTCTTTACTCCTTCCATTACCCACCAGACCCTCTGATTGTTGCTGTGAGAGGGATCTGAGGATCCCTGATCTGCAGGACTTGGGCCCCTCCCTTGGTCTGGCCCTGGCTGAGGGACCTGGGCTTTGCTGAGATGACAGAGAAACTTCTGAGCAATCTCTGTGATGTGTTGGCTGGTCAAAGATGATTGTCCATTGTTGGTCAGGAGGATCGACTCTTGGGGAGAAACCTCTTAGCCATGTTCTCCCCTCAGCCTAATCCTCCACATACTCCCATCCTAGAACTGGTTTCTGGGTTACTTTCCAGGTCTAGGTGGAGGGATGGGGATTGCTGGGGCTGCCCTTGGCCAGGCAGCCTGTTCCCAGAACTGTTCCCTTCAATCCCGGAATGTGGAACTGGTCCAGCCCCAATCCATCCTTTGATATCCTAGGCTGCTGTCCCTTACGCCCTTGGCCACTACTCAGCCATATTGCTCCAGACCCTGTCCCTTCCCCAGGCCTGCCCATCCACAGGCTGACTCCAGTCATTTCACCTTGAATAAAAATTTGGATCAATGATTTCCAGCTGTGGATTGGACTTTCCTTCATCTGAGTCTCCCTATGTGCTTAGTGCAAGCAGCCTAGTCCCTGGTGCCAGTTCTTCTTCCCAGATTGCTAGCAAGCCTGCTCCCTGTCACTTCCTCCTTGGCTCCAGCTGCTCTGTCCTAAATGAGGCAGCCTCCTCCCCATGCTCCTGGCCTGGTAAACTGAGGTCCTGAGTCCAAGGGGCAATAGCTGGGACTTCCCAAAAGAAGGCAGTAGGATACCTACTTGGAACTCAGGTTGGGACCCAGGTCCCCCTGGTTTGTCACCTGTTGCCTGAGGCTTTGTCTTTCCAGTTGTGAGACTTTTTACCCTTAAGTATGCCAGTAAGATTGTTATTTGTCTAGTTAAATTGGGTCTTTTTAATTCAATTCCATGGTAGTTAGTGGTCTTCCTAAGTTCAAATCTGACCTCAGACAATTAATATCTGTGTGACCCTGGGCAAGTCACTTAACCCTGCTTGCCTCAGTTCCTCAAAATGAGTTGGAGAAGGAAATGGCAAAGCACTCCAATATCTTTTCTGAGAAACTCCAAATGGGGTCACAAAGTGTTGGACATGACTAAAAAGACTGAACAACAATTCACTTCACGTTTGTTTTAGAAGACAACTTATGTGTACTTTAAAAAGCATTTTCTTAACATTTTATTAGTTATATCACTTTTTTAATCTCTCTAATTTGGTTCTTGTGATTCCTTTTCCATTTTTATTTTCACACATCTTGGATGTGTGACCCTGGGCTAGTCACCTACCTCTCAGTGCTCTGTAACACTACTTGTCACAGAGGAGGGCACAGACCAGCAATGCTAATGGAAATTCCTCCTCCAAAATTCCCTGGACCAATGAAATCCCAAGTGCATTCCCTTATCTTTTAGAAAATCAGTTGCATTTGCTTTTAACATATTCTATTAGTTAAAAAATAATTTATCTTTAATGTTTCTTATTTTGAATTTATAAAGGCATTACATTTACTTAATAAATTTGTTAACCCTTATAAAACAATTGATTTTGTTTTATTGACAGAAGTGGTATCCATAGTGCCCAGATCAAGAAGATGGATGGAGAAGTAGCAGGGACCAGCAGGGATCCTCCTGCCTGGCCTGGGGACAACCACCTTCTGGGTCAGCTACAGGAAGACTCATCTTCCCGAGTTCAAATCTGACCTCAGACATTTACTCACTGTGTGAGACCCATGGCAAGTCACTTCACCGTGTCTGCCACAGCTTGCTCATCTGTAAAATGAGCTGGAGAAGAAAATGGCAAACTATTGAAATATATTTCACAAGAAAACCCCAAATGGGTCACAAAGAATCAGACATGACTGAAGGTAAGTGACTGAGTGGTAGAAAGGGACTATGTGTATTTTAGATGTTTTATAATATTTGTTTAGATGCTTGTTTGTTGTTTTTCAGTCATGTGTGATTCTTTGTGACCCCATTTTGGCCTTTCTTGGCAAAGATCCTGGAGTGGCTTGACATTTTCTTCTCTAGCTTATTTTTTTTTTTATTAATTTATTTTGATGTGTTAACAGTCACTTCCATAAGCTTTTGACTTTTAAATTTTTCTGAGAGGTATTTTTTAAAAAAAATAACAGTTTATTATTTTTCCTAATTATATGTAAAAAACAATTGTTAACATTCTTTTTAAAAATTGAGTTCCAAATTCTCTCCCTTCCTCCCTCCCCTCCCCCTTCCCTGAGATGGTAAGCAATTTGATATGGGTTATATATGTGCAATCATGTTAAACATGTTTACATATTAGTCATGTTATAAAAGAAAACAGACCAAAAAAAAAGAAATAGAAATAGAAATAGAAATAAAGAACTGTGGGTAACAAAGATAATAAAGAAATGAAAGTAAAAAAAATACAGTGAAAAGCCATATGCTTTGATCTGCATTCAGACTCCATCAGTTCTTTCTCTGGAGGTGTTATAAAGAAGACCCCAGACTCAGTTCCGAAGACTGGTGTATCAAAGACTTTTTATTAAAGAGGTTGAAGTGCATCCTTTCGATTCTCGCGAGAGGCGAGCACACCTCCTTTGAAGGGAGAGTGCACACTAGCACAGAAGCAAGACCAGGCTTTATAGTTAGTGATTGCCTAACTCCTCCCTTCTGGATCAGGATTGGTTCTAATCCTTGTGGATTACAATCTTACATGTGATCGCCACCCCTTAATATATATTATGTGCCTAGAACCTAATTAGACTTGTGCAGTTAGCAAAACGCTGCAGGCCTGGAGTTAACGTCTGCATTTTGAACCGATTCAGCCGGGGTCCCTGCTTGTGATTTCTTATAAGTGATTTGCTGATTTCTCTCTATCTGCTTTTGTGGAAACTTAACTCTTCTATTTCTCACAGGGGGTGGTCAGCATTTTTCGTCATGTGACCTTTAGAATTGACTTGGATCATTGTGCTGCTGAGAATAGCTAAGTTACCACAGTTGATCATCGTACAATATTACTATTACGGTCTTCAAAGTTTTCCCTGTTTTGCTCACTTCACTCAGCATCAGTCCATACAAGTCTTTCCCCCTCCCTCCCCCACTCCCTCCCCAAGACTGCACACAATATGATATAGGCTATACATATACATTCCTATTAATCATATTTCACGTTAGTGGTGTTGTGAGTAAGAATTAGAACCATAGGAGGAACCACCAGGAAGAGGAAATAAAACACAACAGAAGAAAAAAATAGCAAATAGTATGCTTCGATCTCCATTCAAACTTCATAGTTCTTTCTCTAGATTTGGATTGCATTTTTCATCATGAGTCTTTTAGAATTATCTTAGATAATTGCATTGCTGAGAAGAGCTAAGTCTATCAAAGCCAGTCATCACACAATGTTGCTGTTACTGTGTACGGCGTTCTCTTGTTTCTGCTCACCTCACTCAGTTTCTGTTCATTTAAGTATGTCCAGGGTTTTCTGAAATCCACCTACTCATCAGTCCTTATAGAACAATAATTTTCCATTACATTCATATACCACAACTTCTTCAGCTGTTCCTCAATTTCCAATTTTTTTTTGCCACCAGAAAAAGAGCTGCTGTAAATATTTTTGTACATGTGGGTCCTTTTCCCTTTTTAGGATCTTTTTGGGATATAGACCTAGTAGTGGTATTGCCCGATCAAAGGGTATGCACAATTTTATAGCCCTTTGGGCATAGTTCCAAATCGTTCTCCAAAATGGTTGACTAGTACCTCTGGTAAGAGGGAGACAGAGCCCTTTCCAGACCTGCTGCTGCATCCACATGCCACTGCCACTGTGAACCCTAGAGGGGTTCAGGGAAGACTAGTACCTCTGGTAAGAGGGAGACAGAGTCCTTTCCAGGGCTTCTGTCCCCTGTCAGTGTCCACCTGATCCACCCAATTCTCAACTGTGTCTCCAAGAAGCTGGAGCATGCACACTGGCTATACCATAGTAAAACCATCTCAGCAGAGAGGCTAAACCAGGTTGAGGGCAACCAAGGGGTCTCCAACCCATCAGTGAGTTTTGGGGGGTGGGTCTACCCCAAGCCTGTGAAGACTTCCTGTGGGGGAATGAGCCAACAAGAACAATTTGTTCAAGAGCCATGAAGGTGGCCGAAGCAGGTACCATGGGGCTCTCAGAGCTTGGTTGTGCTCTCATCATATCCCCCTTACCTCTGATCTCATTTCCTCCTGAAGAGGCAAATGGGGAGGAGCTGAGACTCAATGATCCATCCCCTCTTGGAGATACTACTATAAGGATTATCTTGCTCTTATTATAAAAAGTTTTTTTATTTTTTTATTTTATTTTTTTTAAGGCAATTGGGGTTAAGTGATTTGTCCAGGGTCACACAGCTACTAAGTGTCAAGTGTTTGGTCTGAGGTCAGATTTGAACTTAGGTCCTCCTGATTTCAGGGCTGGTTCTCTAACCATTGCACCACCTAGCTGCCCCTAAAAAGTTGTTTTTAAAAGCAATCATGTCAAAAAAAAATCATGTCTTTGAGTCCTGGGCTAGCAGTGCTTTCTGCTGTGGTGTTTTTTAATATAGTCCCTTAAATTTTTCTTTTCCTGAGTTTTGCCTCTTTAATTAGGACAAAGACCTGAATATAGAATTTTCCTTTTAATGATTTGCTACTGTGTGTATGTTAACTCTTTTGTATCTTATGTTTGTTACTTGTTGGAAGAAATCACCAGCTGTATCTTATACCCATGTCCTACAAAGAATGCTTGATCTGGAGTCAACCCTGGGAAGCCCCTAGGCATGAGCCCTATTAAGCCTCCACCTTAGAGATTTCCAGGAGTTTACTGTGGGTTGGAGGCAGAATCAAAGAGAAAAATTTCTTTGGTGATCATCCCTCTCATTCCATATATTCAGGTCACCATGAGCCCAGAACATTGGTGGGGACCCATAAGCCACATTGTAAAAACAATGCCTCTCATTTCTAGAGGGCTTTAAGGTTTACAAAGAATTCCACCCCCATTGTCACTCCCCAGCAACCTTGTTAAGATACAGAATGGAACTACTATTATGGACACTGTACAGATGGAGAAAGCTGATGCTTAAGAGAAATTCAGTAATTTAGTCTTCAGGCCTTGATGGCTTCTTGAAAGGGGGCAGAGTGTCCAGCCTACACACCTAGTCCTACCAAGACCTAAAATTCACCCAAGACCAAATAATGATTAAGAAATCCAATGAGACTGTGCTGCAAGTAACTTCTTCCATCTCAAAATAGCACAGAATCAGCCAGAATCCAATGGGCAATAGCATAGGGGGATGCCAGTAAAGCCAGAGTAAGCACAGGTAAACATGACCAGTCATGGAACAGAGACATGTGTGTTAACTACAAGTCTCTGTGTCTGGAGGGCCCTTGAGAAAGCCCAGGGTGATCAGAAAGACCCAGTGAAGACTCTGTATGACCTGGGTAATGGTAATGAACTGAGCAACAGGAGAATGCTCATTCCTGGACAACCCAGGCACCAAAGGGGCTCTGAGGAGCCCAGCCCTCTGTCCTGAGATTCCAGAGAGAGTCAGGAAGATACAGCTCTGAACTCCAAAGATTCAGGAGCTGGAATGCTGTTCAGGAATCCAGAGGTGATTGGATCAATAGATATGAGTGTTCTCTCCTCTCCACAACTCACCCTCGTGCCCAACACAGGTTAGGAAAATGGCACAAACCAAGGACTTGATTGGCCCAGGGGTGGGACCAGGCTGAATCTTGACTCAGTATCCTGAGTGCCTCTGGCTGTGCTAATGTGGCTTCTTCTTCAGTTAAGGGCATGAAGAGTCCCACCTACCCAGGTGAAATCAGGGCTCCTCCCACTTGCTGTAAGTCTCCACACTAGAAGAGTTATCATTCTCTGTCTTGCTGACCAGATATGCTTCCATGTGTAAAAACAAAACAAAACAAAACAAACAAACAAACAAAAAAACACGAGCAGGGGTTGGGGTAAGTTAGTTGCCATTCTATCCTAGCTGCATCTCTTGCTACTTTAAGCCTAAGTAAACCTGTTTTTGTTAACTGTTCAATGACTTCCCAGTGCCTTATTTTATTCTAGTATCAAACCTGAACTAATAGAGTGCTGCTCTCAGTCCCAGCTCTAACGCTGGTATGTATAGTCTGGTATATAGAAATTGGAATGAAATGAGGTTTTAGTTGTAGGAAAGCCAGTGTGAACACAGAGGGTGGGGTAATCAAGAATTGGCAGATATGGCACTGTGGAAGTGATGGCAAGGACCTTCTGGTCCTTATGGAGAATCCTCCTGGTGGAACAGGCAGAAACTCCCATTCATGCAGAGTGGTTAGGTCAATGGTGCTCAAGGTGGCTGCCAGAGAAAGAAGTGAGAACACATGTCCCAGCATTCTCATGTCATTGTTGACCAGCCTGCAGAAGTTGGACTGCTAGCAGAATCAGACTAAAAGCTTTTTTTTTTTAACCTCACTATCTTCCTCTGAATATAAACCGAGATCTTCTCTTATACCATAGTGGCTATTTACAGTTGTGTTCTTTCTCCTTTGCTTACTTGCTTTTGTTTTATTTTGCTTTATTTTATTTTTAGCAGTTAATTATTGACATTAGGCTTTAATCCTGAACTGTGGGTAATGGTGCCCCAGCCCTCAAGTCCTTCTTACTATTATTTCCTGAATTCTGTCTAGGGGCCTTGGGCATTCCTCTCCTGCCCTAAGCCATGATCAGGGTTCCTAGCCATGCTGTACCCAAAATGCTCTTGCTTCCT